TAGCCCCAAATATAATCCACTCTACAACCCTCATTGCATACTCCTATGATAAAATATAATGATGATCTGTCTCTATAAAGAAAGACTCAAGACAAGAAAACCCAATAGGACAAATTTTATTATTTTACAAGGGATTATAATATGTCACCAAACTGTAACAACCATCTGTATGTATGTATATTTTATTGAGGAGTAATGATACCAGTTTGAGGACTAAAGTGCATTTAATTCAAGACATTGCCTTTCTAATTACTTGCTCTGCATCTGACAATGAAGAAGGATGACAGAAAAATAATTGATGCCTTTGATCTGTGGTGTTGGAGAAGAGCGCTGAACATCCCATTAATGGCCAAGAATAAACAGATGTGTCTTGGAGAGGATGAAGCTGGAGTGCTCTTTGGAGGAAGAATGATGAAGCTTTGCCTTGCATACTTCGGACATGCTGATACAAGTTACTATTGCTTGGAGAAGGGCATGTTTCTGAGAAGGGTTGAGGGTCAGCAAAGGAGAGGAAGACCCTCAACCAGGTGGCTTGACACGGTGACTGCTGCAGTGGGCTCTTGTGGGTCAGGGAGTGTGAGAATGATGCAGGATAGAACAGAGTTCAGATCTTTTGTTCATAGAGTCGCTATAAGTTGTACTCAACTCGATGGCACTTAACAACAACAACATCTCTATGTTGTATACATATATAAAAATGTAGTGTGTGTGTCTCTCCGTATGTGTGTGTGTGTGTGTGTGTAGATATGTAGATATACAGATATGTACAGATACACATAGAAAGATTTTTACAAGGACTTGCAATATTTCTTGAAGCTGTAAGTGACCTTCCATTTCAATTTCTCATTCAAGGCAAAATCTCCATTAAAACGTCCCAGGGAGGAAATTATGCAGCAGCTGCTGAGCATTTCCAGGAACCAGTACTTTATTCTCTCAAACAAAAGCTCCTTCCATTTTTGTGCATTGTACTTTGAGAAAAGTTTTGTCTTACACTGGAAATTATAAAGGGAAATTAAATAATCTCATTTTAACCTTAATTCATTGGTTCTAGTTCTGTCCTCTGTAGTCTAATTCCTTTCCCATAGATCCATTCTTCAAACAGATCAAGAAAATTATTGCCATTTAAAAATATTCCTATTGGAATATGGCTTCATGACCCTTCACCAATTGTATTTCCTTCCTATATTTTTATACTTACTTTTAAATACAACACTAGACATTACTCATTTAGTGGCTGTCTACTTGTTGCTTCTTTTTTAAAGCAAAGCTTATTTGAATTCAATAAATTCATATAAAAATATATTTATATGGGCAGTAAATAAATCCAAATAGATGGTAGAACCTTAGTTATAGAACAGGATTCAGATCTTTTGCTCATAAGCTCACTATGAGCCCTACTCAACTCAATGGCACCTAACAACAATAAAATCATAGTGGGTAAAATTATGGAAACTTATTGGATATAATCAAACATTTTGAGAGGATGAGTTGTTAGGACTCAGAGCTCAGTATCACAGTCTCAGGGAACATAAAGGTCAGTTTCTAAAACATAGTCCAAAAAGACAATGTTCTATATCCTACTTTAATGAGTAGGGTATTAAAAGTTTGAGAGAGATAGCTATGTAAGATTCAGTTCTTTTTTTTAAGTTAATTTTATCAAACATTCAGAGGAAAACTGTCACCAATTCTACAAAAACTATTTCAGAAAATAGAAAAAGTTGGAATTCTCCCAGACTCACTCTATGAAGCAAACATATCCTTGATACCAAAGCCAGGTAATGAAACCACCAAAATAGAAAACTATAGGCCAATATCTCTCATGAACCTATAGATGCAAAAATCCTGAATAAAATCCTGGCCAATAGAATCCAATGATACATAAAAAAAATAATTCACCATGACCAAGTGGGATTTATAACAGATATGCAAAGATGGTTCAACAAAAGAAAAAAAAAATCAATGTAATTCATCACATTAACAAAGCAAAGAACCATATGATCCTATCAGTTGATGAAGTAAAAGCCTTTGACAAAATCCAACAATCTTTCTTGAATGATACACTCAACAAAATAGGTTTAGAAGGAAATTTCTTCAACATAGTAAAAAGTATATATGCAAACCTGAGAGTCAACATTGTTCTCAATGGAGAGAGATTAAAGGCACTCCTTTTGAGAATGGGAACTAGGCAAGGATGCCCACTATCACCTCTCCTATTCAATATTGTATTAGAAGTCTTGTTGTTGTTATGTTGTTATGTGCCGTCGAGTCATTTGCGACTCCTAGCGACACTATGTACAACAGCCCTAAACTGTGCTCTATCCCGTGCCAATCTCATTGCCTCTGACACATCCATCCCGATTACCCCAGTCACTGAATCAATCCACCTCATAGAGGGCCTTCCCCTCCTGCGCTGTCCCTCTACTCTACCCAGCATGATGTCCCTCTCTAAAGACCTGTCTCTCCTTACAACATGTCCAAAGTATGTCAGACGAAGCCCCAGAATCCTTGCCTCCAAGGAGCCACACGGGTTAATCCTTTCCAGCACAAATCTGTTTTCTTGGCAGTCCATGGTACATTCAATACTCTTCTCCAGCACCA